AGATCATAATTTTGCAGTGTCATCCTGGTGTGAATAGTATACAATAGGATGAGGCAAGTACAAATTTCTGAGGCATCAACATGCCTTTGGTCCTCATCATTACCTCTAAGTGTCACGAGCTACAGTATGTTACATAGACTTGGGCTCCTTTCCGGGACTTGGCCACAACCCCAGGATCCCAGTCAGGGTTTGCTACCACCACACAGACCCTCGGACCAGTTTCTTTCCCTTTACATGGGCAGCCTCATCGCTGCCGTGCTGCCTGTACAGCATATTTCTCTGCCATAACTGCACATTTTTCCTCCCACTTGCTTCACATCTCTGTAGCTGCTATCAAGGCCTGTTGCTGTAGGATGGCTGCTGTCTTTGCCTCCTGTAGTTGCTGTTCTTAAGCTTGCACCCTTTTGGCTAACTCACATGCGTTTCCTCAGACTGCTTTATTATACGAAAAGAAAGCTGCTGTCATCTGACCTCCATGATATAAATGTTACATTCTATGATTCAAGTCTAACCCCAGTGCAGGTTTCTAACTTATTCCATAAGATGTTTCAAGTTTATTGAAATTGGGTTTTTTTTAAGGAAACTGCTTTGATTCTCTATTTCTGCAGTGGAATGTCTGGTAAAAGTAAAGAAATTACTGTAAAATTTAATTTGAGTTGGCAAGGATGCAGTAAGCAATAAGAAATGAAGACAAAATGTAATTGCCATGTAAATGCTAGTCTTAGTTATGGTTACTGATATATAGACGTAGAATACCAAGCCTGTCTTTTTGATATTTTCAGTATCCAAGGGTACAACCTGTAATAACACCCCGCTTTGGCCCTTCCTGCACAGAGGACTTGCTGAGTGCACTTGGCGATTTAGCACGGGACCGGGATCTCCATGTGCAGGTGAGCTCCGAGGGCTATGTGTACAGTTTAGTTTGGACAGACAGCATACTGATCAGAGAGTTTTCATGATTTCAGGAAAACACTTAAGCCACTCCACACTGGAGTCTCTTCTAATTCCTCTGAAATTACAGATACTACTCTGTAAAAACACTGTAACTTGAACAGGAATTGAGAAGACTCAATTGGAAGGATGCACAATTCAGCAAGTCCCAGTGCATGGTCACTAGGAAACTGGCACCCTGCATAGGCAACCCTTGGATTGCTGAAGGTTGCTCTCTCTAGTCAAGTCTCTCTCACTGCCTTCTGTTGTTTCTGGACAGAGGAGATTTCAGTAGATAAAAGTATTACTCATCTTGGTATCTTATGTGAACATTGTTAACATAACTGTAGGATTTCCAGTGTGATGAAGTTTCCGTGTTTAAAAAAGACATTTTAAAGCTTACGGGTGTGTTGAAATGTGTTCTTTTTTGGTTAAACAGTTGTAAGCATATATTGCTTTAAAGCTATCATATCTTTGGGGTTTTTTTAATTACAAAGTGGGCATTTGGAAAATATATGCCCCAATGGGAGTACAGAAGGATCAGATTTTTCTGAGACAGGAACTAATCAGCGCTTCTGATGATACATGGAGGATCTACATGTTGCCCAGACCTCAGGGTCTACCCTGTTGTAGGCTGGTTCTCTCTTTACCTCACAATAATATAATGTATTATTTTATCTATTATTTTAACATTTTCCAAAACCTATGGGTGCCGTTGCCTCACCACACTGCTGCGATGGATATGCACACCATCCCATATAACTTGTAAAAGAACAAATGGAGCTGCTTCTTTAGGTTCCAGGGATGTTTCTGTTGAGAAGAAAAACACAAGGATTAGATATAACTATAGTCTTTACAAATACTAGTTTATATCATTGCATGTTTAGCACCAGTAGGTTGCTGAGAAGGCTGTAATTTCAGGTTCAATGCTATTTGAAGCACTCACTGTTATGTATTTTCTTGTTGTAGAGTCACATAAGTGAGAACGAAGAAGAAGTCAAACTTGTTGAGAACATGTTTCCTGCCTATCAGACTTACACTGAATTGTATGATAAAAACAAGCTGCTAACCAGCAAGGTAGTTGCATAAAAACTTCCACAACATAGCTTAGATTAATCTATATAGTGAATATGATGGTTTACTGTACTTACCTAAAAAGTCTGTGTTGTTTTGTCAAGGTCAGTGACATCTGTGGGAAAGTAAATTTTTTCATGTTCTCTGTTGCACAGGTGTTGGTCAAGGTATTGGAACTTTAGACAAGCCCATAGTTTTCCTAAGCATTTTGACAGAGGTGAACAGTAAAGACATTTTGTGCTCCCTGATCCATTTTCCAAGGGCTGCAAAGAGAATTGGGGCATTGGGATTAAAAGGAAATTAGATAAACCTGGTATTGTAGGAGCTGGTACTTCTTGGACGGTACTCAGTTATCCTTGTATTACAATGTTCTTGCATGATGGTTTGCCTGAAATTTTGCTCTATGGTGTTATATTCTGAGTGTGAATCTAATATGCAGACAGAGAGACTTTATGCTCTGACTATCCACAATCACTCCTGTCTCATTATCTGATTTTCCCAAGCATGGAGAGGCACAGTGGCCTGAAGAGTTGAAATTGATTAAAGCTTCATGCTAGTGAGATAAATGTAAAGCAGATATGATACCAGCCCACAGTAATTAGAGGTTGGAGTGTGCAGGCACTTCTTATTAGATAGTGGAGAGCCCATGCAAAAGTGAATATGAATGACTTAACTTAAGTCAGTGTGCTTAAACGTCAGTCAAGTTGATTTAAAATTTTATGAGACAATATTTAGAGCTACCAAAGGGCAGCTAGAATAATTCCTGAGAATTAGCTATTGAATTTCTGTTTCTGTGTTTGAAATTGTACCCCGGTAAATTACTTGTTTACTGTCCTTTTTACTTGAGAAATCAATACTGACTCTGAAGTATGTACATAGTATTAACCTTTGTTTTGTAGCACAGGGCCATGCATGCTGATTTGATGTGTCAGTGTACTATTAGTGCTGCCAAAACACAGGTCTTAATTCTATCAGACTTTTATATGCGCAGAAGTTAAAATGGTCACCTGAAATCATGGTTACTGGTGCTTTCTGGAGCCAGGCTCTTAGTTGTTTGGAAAAGCATTCTATTAAATGCAAGCATAATAAAACCTCAGACACTCTCCTCTCCCCAGCCACCAAAACTAAGACACCAAATCAATTTTTATAAGTGTTTTAAAAGCATGTTTTTTGGACCTGTTTCTGAAATATTTCTTTCTTTTTGAAAAACAGTACAGATTGGCAGAGATATGGTTAGGCAGCTACCCTATGTATGTCCTTCACTGAAGATGTGACTGTGCTTCTTGCATTTTCAGCTACATTTTGCTTGATGAGTAGAGATGGTAAGGGTACAGTGCTATTAGGACATGCTCAGTGGAAACAGTTCATGTGCCATTTTCGTTTTTATCAGCAGATTGCAAGGTCTAACAGACCTCTTGCTCTTCTCTTTCAGTGTGCATTTGGCATATGAGGTAATGCCAGTTAGATACATCTGGGAATAATTGGTTTATGTACTATCAAATTATACTGTCCTATAATTCTGTATTTTGTGTATACTGCTTTTGAACTTATTTTTAAAGTCGGCTGTACGGGCCAAGAAAGAAAATAATAAACTTGCATAATAAATTAGATTATTTTGCTTAAAGAATATTCCATATATGTGTTTATATCTACGTTGTGCAAACCTTTAGAGAAACAATGGGAAACATGCTAAGAGTGCATACATTCCATTGTATCTGAGGTACTCCTAGCCCCAGTATTTAATCTCTGTGTCAGCTATAAAATACAAACCATAAGGTTACTAAAGTGCTAGGACAACTGGGAAATTCTTGCGTTTGTTCCTTGGAACTCTTAGGTCACAAGAGTCACTGCAAGAGTCAGCACCCTCTCTTCTTTCTTACATTGATAAATTAAAAAATACTGAGGAATGATACATCAGGCATAGTGAAGTTAATCAGTGTTTTTCCCTTGTGGATTTCAAGGGCTTCATTCAAGCAGTGTATTTATTTCACTTAATGGTAACATGTGTGGTTTTGGCTATTGAAAGTACTGCAGCAGACCTCAGCCACTGAGGTAAATATGATATTGAGCAAATTTATGATTCTCTTTTTCTTTAGACAGTGATGGCTCATGCCTGTTATCTTTCTGAAGAAGAGCTGAAACTTTTTAGTCTTCGTGGAGCTGCAATTTCACATTGTCCCAATTCCAACTTTTCGTAAGTTAAATTTAAAAATGAAGAAGAAAAAAAAAGGTGTATAATTAAATAAAGTTGTTGTTCACTTAGTACCCTGCATCCATGCTACCACTGCAAGGCTATGTATATGATACCCCCATTCCACCATAACTACCATATTGGATTGAATATGACTATTCATGATCCACTTCTCTGCAGTATGCTCTGGACTGACTTGCGTTCTTTCAGTCTCGTCTCACATATGTGGTTTTTTTTTGAATTTTTTTTATAAATTTGTTTCTTTTGACTGTTCTGTGGATGACAGATTCAAGCCATCTCCCTTCCCCGCAAAGTACGCTTGTGTTTTGGGGGAATGGGCTATACAGTCTTCTTTCTGTTAAGTATAAATGAGATGCTGCATGGTAGCTGGACACATTCTGAGAACCTTTGTCATGAAATGGCTCTGCAGCCCTGCTCTTCCTGAATTTCTTCTGTATGTATCACACAGGACATGTTCTTCTTCCAATCCAGGTTGCGCAGTGGTTTCTTAAATGTGCGGAAGGTTCTGGAACACAATGTGAAACTTGGTCTTGGCACAGGTTAGTATTGTCTTGTAAAGATGTTTTCATTTTGGAAACCAGTGGGAGATACAAAGCCATGCCTACCTGTTCATATTTAAAAGTCAGCATGTCTCCAGCTTAGGGTCCTGCTTTCTTTTAGCCACTGATTCTAGAGTAAGAAAGTCTAGAGTATTGAAATCTAGGGCTGGTCCAAAAGTATTTAAAAAGAAAACAAAATAATTAATGAAGAGTTTTGTTCGTGTCATGAGAGTAAAGAGGGCTTGATCAACAACTTTTCAGGTTTCTGCTATTATGGTGTGTTCTATTCACCTGATTGTGTGTGAGAGAACTTTACTGGGAATTACACATTCAGAGACAGTGCCTACCAGTAAAACTTGTGTTTACCACGGGTCTGTTTGTAATATTGAATTAAAACTCATAGAAATTTTACAGATAATTATGCCCAAAGCTTGTTTCTAAGAGTCTGATCCCTTCTAGATGTTGCTGGTGGATATTCAGCTTCCATGTTTGATGCTATCAGGAAAACAATTATGGCCTCTAATAGCCTTCAGATCAATAAAGTGAATGAAACAGGACTAACTCTTGAAGAAGCTTTTCAACTTGCCACTCTGGGAGGAAGCCAAGGTAAAAAGAAAATTCGTTAGTGTGCATACAGAGAGCTATAGCTCTTTTAGATATTATGTCTCCCTGTCTTCATGGGAGATGAGTGCTCTTACAGTAACCTATATTCTGTGAATGAATTCATAGATTTTCTGTTGCCAGAGTGAAGTCTAAAATGGTATCTGGTGAGCAGAGATATCCTTACTCTAGGCTTATTACAGAAAAGTATTTGTATTGATGTTGAGAGTTTAATAATAGAATCTGAATGGCTTTTTGGGGTTGTACATTTACTTTGCAAAGATCCTCAGACTTCTTAGTCATAAGGTCATATCATAAGTGCTGGTATGTTATCACACCAATTGGAAATTTGTTTTCTCAGCAATCATCAGTTAGAGGAAAAGCTGTGCGTTTGCTATAAAATCATGCATCCTGTTTGTCATCCATTTCTAATTTTGTTTATGCTTTTTGAGCTATCAATGAGGCACTTTGTTGCAAATCAAAACATCCTGCAAATCACTCCTCACTCAGAGAAAAGAATGAAGTTTAAACAGCATATCCGCCATGGTTGCTTAAGACACAGTTGCGTACAGTCATCTAGTGTATGGATTATTCTGGTTCACTGGCATGTTTTCTTATGATCAGTGTGCGTGTACTAATGAAATTAATAAAGTTTTAGTGGAACTGGTATGATTTGGCAGGGAGTAAATCCACACATGAGTAAAAACTTACTACTCTTTCAGTTAGCAGAAATGACCTCACTGCTTGCTAAAGAACTGGTCCCAAATATTTTCAGAGTAATATTTTTGTAGCTGTTGGAAAACACCATTGGGAACTATTAATAGAAGTTTGAAAGATGTAATGAAAATGTCACCGAACAGGTCTTGTCAGGATTGTATTTGAATTCCTGGAGGATATAATGGAGGGATGGAGAAGACAGAAGGTGGGCAGGGAACAGAAAAAAAGATATTTTTCCCACAATAGATACTGTTCCATAAAGTGCAAGAATACTTTAGCTGAGGCACAGAAAGAACTTAAAAAAATCCCAAACTTATATGTGGTTTCCCTTCTCAGCTACTCTAGTGCTTTGTCTATCTTAGGTTTATTTGGTAAAGTGTTTGTTTTATATATTGATTTTGTGTTGATTTACCCTTACTGAATCTTTGTCAAGAGTAGAATATAAATTACTCATACAACTTTCCAGTAGCCTGGAAATTCCACTAGCAGAAAGTTAAATGAGTGATTCTTTAGTGCAATAATTTGCTTTGTTACAGCTTCTAAACACTTGTCACCCTCTTGTGTTTAATCTAAGAATTGCATTCTGCTCAAAAACCTGAAGGAAAATGAGATCTTTTTATTCGAAACCAGTAGGCAGTCAAAATATTTCACAATTTGTAAGTGGTTTAAACGTCTTTAAGGTATTGTGATGTTCCTGCTGTATACAAACTTCACTGAAGGCTGAAGTTCGTTTGTTGAAGCAATCTGAAAACAAGTGAACAAATTGTTATCCTTTTTGTGATAACTTAGTTTCAGAGTATTGAAAAAATGGATATAATTCACAGATACTTTCTGCAACTTAAAACCATCCTAATTTGTTCCCAAAGAGACATGAAGGCCTCTGTTTAGGTGTTCTAAGCACTTGCAAGATGAATATGTAAGTTTTCGGTGCATATGGACCTAAAAGCAAGAGGTTGCAATGAAGCTTTGAAAAAACAAAGCTAAATAGTAGACTGCAAGACAAGCTTTACAGGCAGGTATGAGGCCTTCAGATCTGTCTGTGGTTTGTCTTCCACACCATATTGTTCTTTGTTCCTGCTAGTTAGAATTAGTTATACTCACTGCACACCTGTCTTATTATCATATTACTTACTCTATGTTGCTATTGCAGTAGGTCTATATAGCCTATCCAAGTTGCTTAAACTGTTAAAAACCTTAAGTCTAATACTGCCTTAATTTCAGTGCCCGTCTTAGCATTCTAGTATTTTTGCAATGTAACCAATTGTTATTCCATTTTGGACAGTTAATGGCCTGTATACCAGATCTGCAATGTGGAACATTCAAAGAGCAAAAATTAAAAGTGGGGTTCAAATTGTTTTTCAGATTTCTTTTAGCCTTAACAAATGCCTTACAGAAATTGACTGAAATATACATGTTTTTACTGAGAAGTCTCTTAAGAACTCAGATGCTAACATACTCACTGTTGAATTTGCTTTTGTGTTTTTCCTTGTAATCAGCTAAATTACTGTTTTTTTCTTAAGAGCATCTCAAGTAAATTGCCAGGTGCTTCTACATGGTGAAAAGAGGCTGGTGCTCAAGACTTATTTGCGAACTTATTTTCTTCCTCAGCTCTAGGACTAGATGACGTGATTGGAAACTTTGAGGTGGGCAAAGAATTTGATGCACTGCTAATCAACACGAAGGCTTCAGATAGCCCCTTTGACTTGTTCTCTGCTGATAATTTTGAGGTAATTAGAACAGGATTAATGATCCAAAATATTAATGGAAATGATGTGGGAAGGTCCATGACGCAGACAGAGTAAGTCTCTCAAGAGTCATTCCAATAATAGGAATGGAGCACTGGTGCCTGTGCTTCAGCACTAGTGTTTGTTTTCCCTTAGAATCTTGCTGTCCTCAGTGACAGTCTCATAACTCCATGAGCAAAAGTGAATGTAATATTTTTAATGCATGTTTTGTTAGCCCAAGATGACAATTTAGAGTTTGCTATTTGGAGTGACAAATGGCAGCCAAGAAAAAGATTATTCAAGACTTCAAGTTCAACCTGAAAAATGGCAACCTGTTCCCAGAGAAAGGTTAGGATGCCTTGACTTACACTGCTGTTATAGAATTAAGCAAGAACTCAAGATGGCTAATTGGAGTTAAAAATACAGTTTTTATGTTAACATAAAGACAATGTTGGCCTTAAGCAATGGGCACACCTGCTCATGCAAAAACCTCTGACTGAAAAAGATAATTAACAGTTCCTTGAATTTATCGATGTCACTAGACAATTCCAGCTCTGTGAAAAGAATTATTTTTCGATTTAAGTCTAAACCTTTTTAGCTAAGTTAGCAGTTCTTAGGAGTATAAAAATGTATAAGTTTTGTCTCATTTTTCAATAAGTAAATGAATTTGAGAACTCTAAAAGGAAGGGGAAAGTAATGTGCTTTAGGCATATATTTGTTTATGCCATCGAACTTGTCCAATGTTTTCTTTATTTGAAAGTTAATTATGAGAAAATGTGTATATTAGATTTTGATTTTACTATTAGTAGGAATATTTGGGAAAACTTTTTATCAGTTTTTCAAGCTTCAAAATGATCTGGAACAACAGATGCTGCTTTCTGAATTTGGTTTTTTTTCACATTTTTTTATAGGACACTCTCCAGAAGTTCCTGTATCTAGGTATGTTCTGATTTTCAACCCATATAAAATTCTTGTTTCCTGCATCAAACATTGTCCAAATT